TATGACCTTGTCACTTGGATGTTTAGACTGATTCCTAGCGACATGATCTCGTTACCTGATCGGTTTTGGATGTTTTATGTTATCATGATTTAGTAGTGTTTTCATGTTGATTTGTGGATTTCAGTTGTATGTTCTTTTGTTGTTTCTGTTATCGTATCGTTTTTCGTATCGGAATTTCGTTCGTTCTATTTTCTTGTGGGGTCTTGCCGTGTGCCATGCACCCTGACGTACACCTGTTTCCTCTGGTGTACGTCAGACTTAGGAGAAGAACAGGTTCAGCTCAGCAGGAGCCAGAGGATTCTCAGCAGGAGAGCCCTGCAGACGGAGCAGAAGAAGCTGAAGCTTAGTTATTGGTCATCCGTTTCTTTTGTACTACCTTCCATTTCTAATTGATCAATGTATTTTGTATCTCTTCAGCATTCATTTATTCAGATTTGTATAAGGACATGTTTGACCCGTATTTTATGTCTTGGATGATATCCCATTGTGATATGTATTATTTATTCTGAGTTTGTTCATTATATTCTTACTGATTTTGATCGGGGACCTGTGACTTCGCTTTGTATTTATTTTCAGACGCTTAACGTATTGGATTGAGAAGAAAAGAAAAAAAAATAAAAGCGTATATTTCTTCTCGATCTAATACGTCACGGGCTTGTTCACGTTCCGATTCCCTGGTATTTTAGGAAGCGGGGCGTGACATCGCAGGTGGTGGAGATTGATGCAGCTCCACATTGTCCAGATGGTACAGTATCCATGCAGGTGCCGACTGAGGTGACGCCAGGCGAGCACGACGGTGACACGGAGGATACGAGTACAAATGTGCAGGATCAAGAACCGACGGCTCAAGTTCAGGATTCAATTGCGGCTCGGAGACAGAGGAGAAACATACAGATGCCAGCACGGTATGCCGACACAGTTGCGTATGCACTTCCAGTGGAGAGTATCGATGAGTTAGTGCCTACTATATTCAGAGAGGCCGAGCAGAGTTCGGAGGCTGATTCGTGGCAGGTAGCTATGCATGAGGAGATGGAATCTCTTCATAAGAACGATACATGGGAGCTTGTTGAGCTTCCAAAGGGGCGGAAGGCAATTCGTTACAAGTGGGTATACACGAAAAAGGAGGGCATTGAGGGTACTATTGAGGTTCAAAACTAGGTTGGTTGCGAAGGGCTATGCACAGGAGGAAGGTATTGACTATAATGAGGTTTTCTCTCCGGTGGTGAAGCACTCTTCGATTTGGATTCTGCTAGCTTTGGTGGCACAGTATGGTTTGGAGTTAGATCAGTTGGATGTGAAGATGATATTTCTTCATGGTGATCTTGATGAAGAAATATATATGACTCAGCCATTGGGATTCCGAGCTGCAGGAAAAGATAAGTTGGTTTGCAGATTAAAAAAATCGTTATACGGTTTGAAACAGTCTCCTCGACAGTGGTATATGCGATTCGATGGTTTTATGATTGGTCATTCGTATACTCGGAGCCAGTTTGATCTTTGAGTGTATTTTCGCAAGAGGAGGTGCGTACATTTATTTGTTGCTTTATGTCGATGACATGTTGGTTGCCTCTATCTCCAGATCGGCTATAGATGAGTTGAAAGTTCAGCTTTCAAATGAGTTTGAGATGAAGGACTTGGGTGAGGCGAAGCGCATTCTAGGGATGGAGATCGGCAAAGACAAGAAGAAGGGCAGAATTTGTTTGACACAGGTGGCTTATTTGAAGAAGGTTCTACAGCGATTCCATGTTAGCATGGATACGAAGCCAGTTAGTGTACCATTGGGAGCTCATTTGAAGCTTTCAGCTGGTCTTTCACCGAAGTCAGTTGAAGATCGTGAGTTGATGTCGAAAACTCCATATGCGAGCGCGGTTGGAAGCTTGATGTACGCGATGGTATGTACGAGACCAGATTTGTCACAGGCAGTAAGCATGGTATCGAGATACATGCATGATCCAGGAGTGGGTCATTGGGACGTTGTGAAATGGATTTTGAGGTACATTCGAGGTACGCTCAATGTTGGTTTGGTTTATGAGCGGGACACTACAGGTGGACAGCTATGCATTGGCTATGTTGATTCGGATTATGCCGGGGATTTGGATAAGCGTCGGTCTACGACGGGATATGTGTTCATTTTAACCCGTTCGCCGGTGTGTTGGAGATGCACCTTACAGTCGACAGTGGCTTTGTCTACGACGGAGGCAGAGTATATGGCGGTTACGGAGACTGTGAAGGAGGCTATTTGGCTTCGAGGACTTTTGGAGGAACTTGGTATATCGCAGCGGTCCGTCACTATTCATTGTGATAGCATGAGTGCTATCTATTTGGCGAAGAATCAGGTTTTTCATGCGAGGACGAAGCACATTGACGTTCGTTATCACTTCGTTCGGGATGTTCTTGAAGATGACGATGTGGAAATTGTGAAAGTCCACACGAAGGATAATCCGGCGGATATGCTCACTAAGGTGGTTCCGAGCAACAAGTTTGATCATTGTCGAAACTTGTTGCATATTCGTAATTGTTAAGGCCGTTGGCGGCCATTTGGATGAACTACGTTCGGCTTGATTCCTTGGGCAAGAGGATACGTAGGCAGCATATTTGATGCAGCCGGTTTGGATTAGTTGATGGGGGTGAGATTGTTTGGACTCTTGTTCGGGTTCTCGACTTGTTGTGGATTGCGTTCGTACTAGACACAACAAGTGGGATATTTGATTGCTTTGGTGTCGGCTCAGTTTTGAAAAAACTTTACCGAGGTGGAGAATTGTGATCACGTGGGTGTGGGGGCCACCCATGAATTCGTTTACGAGTGAGAGAATAGAGTTCGTGGGCTTTTCCGCGTGAGCCCAAGTTCATTTTTTGGCCACAAACCGCATGATTCTCCGGTTATATAAAGGAACAAATATTGTTCCTGGGGTTGTGCAGGAGGTTTTCGGGAGCGCGTGAAGTTTTGGCGGCTGCGAATTTCTTTGCGGCTACAGAGAAGGTGCAAAAGAAAAGAAAAGAAGAGGCTTTTCTTTTAGGGGTTTTTTTTTGTGCATCCTTTTTGAGAGAGATTTTGTGAGGGATTTGAGAGTTTGTTTGAGGGTTTAGTTTGAGAGTAATTATAAACCCTATTTGTATTCTCTCCCTCTATTAGTGGATCTCCCCCCTCCTTGTCCCGTGGACGTAGGCAATTTGCCGAACCACGTAAAAATTTGGTTGTACTGCTATTTGTGTGATTTGTAATAGCTTTTAGGTTCCCTCGACGCGCAGTCCTAGAGCTGACGAGAGGAAGAGCTAATATCTCACTTTGATGAGATATTAGGCTTTAAATTCTTGTTCCCTTTGAGAAACAAGAATTTTTATTGCGACCTGACTCTCTTGTTGTGCTGCCGAAGTGCTGCCGAAATTTCCGCTGCGCGCAACATAAATCTCTATTCTTCTCTGATAAATATAAGAAAGTATGTCTATTAGAAATTCTATTTTTCAGTATCTTTCCTTGATTTCAGAATTCGATATTCTGTAACACAATAAAGAATGGATGGGAGAAGGAAAGGTGTTTTCATTCCCAGTCCACCATTATTTAATATCTAATTTCAGGGCAGGAACAAAAGTTTTCTTTTTGTGGGCTCAGTAACAGATGACTGTGGAATATGAACCAGAGGACAACACATAACCAGAGTAAAACAATTACAACTGGGAAGAATGTAGAGAATCAAACTTTCATAGTGTCTCTGCAATTAACTGACTTGCCTCTTATCTCAAGAATTTTTCAGTATCAGTGCTAGAACAAGTGATAGTTTAATCTCAACCAAGTAGAATAATCTTGACGGTGTATATGAGTAAATAAGTACAAATTGGAAGAAAGGTCAGAAAGTACGAGACTTAATAATTCCTTTGGTAACTAAGTGTTTTGCCTCTGAAGATTGATCAAACCTAAAAGATAGAAACATTGGACAGGCATACTACTAGTGATCACTATGAATGTGGAAAATATGTGTTATATCTGTATCAGCAGGACGGCGTTTGAAAGTATATGATTCTATCATAGCAGATTGTGGAATTTAATGGTATATGAGACAATTTGAGAGTTCCTGATCAGCAAGAGAAAATAATACAAAAGACATAATTAAGAAAAGTTTTAGCAATTAAAACATGGGACGTGAAGGGACATGTGAACACCAAAGGGATATTGCCTTAGAAGTGTTACTAGAATGGTCAAAACTAGTGGAGATAGAAGGCAATTCTTTAGTAGACACAGAATGAACCCAGTAAATTCCCAAGCCTTATTCAAGACATACTCCGGTTGCTCTGAGCATCATTGTTTCATTTGAAAGCTATTCCTTATCGAAATGGTTGATTGGGAGATGTAAAGAGAATAAAAGAGATAGCACATTTTTATTGGTTTACAGAAGTTTATGGCATAATGCCTAGAGAGATAATGGTGGTGAATTTACACAGCAACAAGTGTATAAATTATTTACCATCAAAGATATGTGCGATGGAGTAGTAATCAGCGTGAGAACTCCTCAAGGTGACACATAGTCATTGATCACCATAGACTAAGACAAATTATCAACATTAAATGCTTCTCTCTTTTCATATGTTGTGAATGAATGGCAATGGTATGCAGAATAAAGTCACATTGTGCATTATGTTTGATGATACTTTTATCTAAACTGACGAGACTGGACAATGTACAATTTTCTAAGTGTAATAACAGGAAAAGTTTTAAAAACTAAGTGATTTGGAATTCACGTGACGGGGAGAAAAGAATATAACAAATGTAGCTTTAACAATACTATGAGAACAATAAGCCAAATAATGGAATAGCGAATATAATTTTCATGTCATAGTCTCAAAATCACAGATTTCCGTGAAGCTTCAAATTGTCAACGTTCTTTGTTATGAAGCATGCCACTAGAGTCAAAACATGATTTCTTTTTCCGGAACTTTGCTTGTTTGCATTGTGAATTTTAGCAAATCATAGCAGTTACCACAACCAAATTTGCAATCCACTCAACTCTTCTATAAACAAGACGCCGGTCTTTTCAATATTAGTCAAGCAAGCTCCAACCTTGAGGAGGTTCTTTCCCTCAAAGGAAACACTGAAAGCTGTTGACATAAGCAAACTATTAACAGGCAATTTTAACAGAAAGCAAGAAACACTTTAACAGAAAAGGAAAATCAAATAAAGGGTGAGGAAGAAAATTGGGTTTTGTTTAAATTCATCAGTTAGCTCAACGTTACCGTAAACACATTTTTTTCCCCTAACAACCCACATTTCCTCATCAATTTGATTATCAAAGTGCAAAAAAAAGTTAGCTGAAACTAAATTGCATTCAGAATACCAATTTTAAATGTCAAACTACATGAACATAAAGATAATGGCTTTAATTGAATTCTATATTAGATTCTTATATTTAGGGTTTATTCGATAGAAAAGATATATAGAATTCACCGTGAGAACCGGATTCAGCTGCTCGTTCATCACTGGAGAGTGCGCGATTAGGGTTAGGGTTAGGGTTAGGGTTAGGATTAACAGAAGAAATCGATGGATGGCAACGGGGAAGACCAGGGTCAGGGTGGAGGTAACTTTGACAAAAACGCCCCCAACGAGTCATGGGTAAACTTCACAAAACCCCCCTTTATTTAGGCGTTATTAGATGGACCCCTTATCTATTTGAATGTCACGAAACACCCCTTAACTTTGAGGGGATTTACACGTAAACCACTGAACTTCTTTTCTCAACTAAACCCCTTTGAATAATTTTCACTTTAAACCCTTAAAGTAACACCGCTAAAAGTCTAATATGTCATGAGCCTAGTGCGTGACCAAAAAATATGTTGTTTCAAATTAATGCTCTTTATTGTTACTTCTGCTTTTAATTGGAGGAAATAATTTCAAAATACTAATTTGAGTGGTTGGGGATACTACTTTTAAAATAACTTAAGAATTGAAAAATCTAATAGTAATCTAATGATTTGAGGACTAGTTGAAAATATGAAAGATTTATGGGATAGATATGAGGGGAAAACTTTTTTTCGGTCTTGTTTTATATATTTCTTGAATTTCGGTATATAAGAAATGAGTTGTCACCATGTTATTGGATGATGCATATGATTTTTAAAGATGAGATGAGATGAAGATGAGATGAGTTGGATGATGTGACCCATTTCTTGTGTTTGGTTTATTTTAGGAGATGATATGAGATGAGTTGCGGGATGAAAATAATATTTTATTAGATGTTATGATAAGTTTTAAGGATAGAAATAAATAAAAATAATATTTTATTGATTTTCATATATCATTTTCCTTTTCTTTATTTTTAGGAAACCAACCAAAACAGCCCCTTAAAGTTGTTAAAAAAAGTTCTATTCGCATACTAAAGGAAGTCCATCCACAATTAACTCTAATAGAATATTGAAAATAACCATGATCTCCACTCAAACCAGAAAAACGCTGCCCAAAAGTTGACAGCCCATCGAATCTAATTGGGCGAGGCCCACTTGCACAGTTGCGATGATCCCATGTGGCGCTGCTACAGGGAAATAGATATGTACAAACTAATCGAGACCATTTTATGCAGGAGACAAAGTCCCCTTTTTTAATTTCCCGTCCGCTCTTTTTCTCCTCTTCAGTCCCCCAAAAGGGCCAAAACTCTTGATGGAAAGCAAAAATTTCACCTTGCGTCAATCTTGGGCGCGGTTTCTAGGTATTGCTCTTTCTACAGTCTCGATTGATTTCCCCTTTGGCTAGATTTCACCGCAGTCTGCTTTGTCCGCGAAATACCTAATTTAAGGGTATGTACTTATGCATGGAACCCGTTGATTTGGCGCCTGGGTTTGATTATTTGGGCGGTTTTATGATCTGGGTAGTTGTTAGAAACTGTGAATTTTGACGAATCGAGTAGGGTCTTTGGGATTTTTTGGGTTTCATTCTGCTTCTGGATTCTGTGAAATTATTCACTGTTTGCTAGTTTCTGGGGAAAATTTTGGGACCCTTGGAAGTTTTTACAGTTTGACAGGATTGGTGCTAAAACAAAATCCGAGATTGTCAGTGAGGAAGTTGTGGTTTGGAATAGAGTTATCTGCATGCTAGAGGAGTAATGTTTGCTTGTGTGGAAAGAAATTGCTTGGTAAAATGATTTCCAAATCGCATTGGAGTTGACTCAGTTAAGGCAAAACCGTTGTTCCGGACCTGTGAGGGAATGAAAAATCCGAAAGAATTTTTTGTCACCACGTTTATTTTGTTGGTTGTTCTTGTTAATAATGTCTTATCGTACATCTTTATTTGATCGTTGGGATTGTCTGATCAAGGAATGTTGAATTGAATCAGACCCAGTATTTCGCTAAAGACACATGTTAAACCCATAAGGAAATTTTTTATTTCTCAGAAGAGTTAAATGATTGAGTCGAACACACAGAAGCCAAGTGTTTCATTTGCTGATATGTGATACCTAGGTTGAAGTTAATAGGCAAAGAATCATTATGTTGGTTATCCGAGTTTAGAAAGGGGTAAGTAGTGAATTGGAGAGGGTTAGGTGAGTTCAGGTATCAATATGTTGCATTTTGTGCTTAAGTTTTGTTTGGTTGTAGCTAGGTATCAAAATGAATCATAGTGGGTCTGTAATGTCTGTTAGAAAACATATCATCGTGTGCACAGCTGACAAATGGCAGTTAACTTTCTTCTTCTTCAATTATGCTCTCCCTATCATTTCCATTATATCACAAAGTGCAAATTCCTTCAGTGAGGAAGATTGCTCTGACATGGAACAGAGAATTTTGCATGGTTTCTATCTATTTCTCTTTTGGGTTTGTGTCTAGGTCCAGGATCAGGTATGGGTATTCTTTCGCTATTGCAGCCACTAACTAGGTAAAACTGCAACTAAAATTAACTTTCATAAGGACATGAATCTCACAGGAGAAACAGTCGTCCATGTCCCTATGGTCAGTGTTAAGTGTCTAATTGTGACTAGATGTGCAAACTGAAGGCGTATCTCTTCGTTGACTTGGCTTACTGATTCATTTAAGACCTTCCTTTCTGTGGACTTAGTTCAGGAAGTGAAAGATGACTTTACCACTTCAAAAGCCATCTACGTTGAGTATACGACCGATTCCAGTCTTTTGGTAACTCCTAGTGATAAGCATTGGTTTAGAACCTCCAAAGCAGATAATGTAACCTTATAATATCTGTGGATGTACTGCACCCATTTTAGACTATGAGTCTGATTTCATTAAGGAATATAATATTGTTGTCCATATTTGGTTTTTGCCAATAAGCAGTCCTCAGATTTTATCGTTTCTCAACTTTACATGCCCAGTGCATTGTTATATTGAAAACTAGTTGTTACCCATGCGATGTACGGAATTTAAGTTAATATTGTTGTACGTATATTAGAAATGTTGGGAAAGAATGAAAGAGATTTATTTTTTTTGGGTGTTGGTGGGGGTCAAAGGATAGAGATTTCCAAGACGCTGAGAGTAGTGGATTAAGATGAGATGGTGGATAAAAGGATTATTAGTCATTAATATTAGACCCCTTAAAATGCCAAGTGGCAAAAATATGCAACCAGGTTGTTACTTTATTAGTATAGTATAGATTTTTAGCAAGGTTTGTCTCAACATTTCCAACTTTGTCTCTGTACAAATTATGACTGACTATAATGACAATTTGTGATAAAACGAATCAGTTGGTTACCTTCTACTGCTTCTGAATTTTTGATTAATGATATTTTATTGCTAGATATGGTTTTCTTATTTACATTGTTTTTTGCATGATGAATCGTCATCTGGGTTTACAGATGCAAATCTTTCACTTGGAAACTGAATGGATGGATGTATATCAATCTTTGTCTAAAGTTTGAAACTGGGCACAACTCTCTTCAGCATATATTGTCAGTTTTATATATATCATGGTTCGAAAAGGAAACCAACATAAGAATGTTTCTTTAGAGAAAGAAAAGTCAAAAGTTCATAGTCAAAATACTGCTGACACCGGAGAAAGGGTAATCTCTGGAAATAGTAAGAAAAACAAGAACAAGCAGCGACAACAGCATTTTCCTTGCAAAGAGAAGTCAGTTGGGACCCCTGAACCTCAACAAACAGTAGAATCCTTGAGCAATGTACAAAATGAGGATAGTGAAGGAAGACAAAATGATGAAGTACTATTTGGAAGCAATCATAATCCAAATATTTACATGTCAGAGGGCTTGTCTATGGAAACTATGGCAGGTCATATTTGGTCTTCAGTTACAGTGGCTGGTCAGAGATTAAGAGTTCTCACTTTAGATGTCCTCACTGCAGCCAATGGATGGCTTGAGCAGCAAAAACCGCGAGTTTTAATTTTCAAAATGTATATTTGCAACGGGCGTGATTACATACTTGTTCAAATCAAACATGTATATCCATTTATTTGGACATGGATTAAGCACTTTGGACAGTTGGTACTTCTTCTGTCAGTGGTTTGGCTGGATTGCAATATACGGGGTATTAGTTCTTTACTGCGCTTGGGTACAACATCCTTCTTTACAGTTATTTGGTGCAGCATCCTGTCGATTGTCTCAATGGTTGGATTTACAAAAGCTCTCATTGTCATGGTTGGTATAGAACTGCCTCATTCTGCTAATATATAAATCATTTTAGTTCTTGCTGTTTTTATTTTTATCAGTTGCTTGCATTGCAATATTGTTTTTCTTCTTCATTCTCCTTTCAGGTTATAAGTATAGTTAAGAAGCTTTATCTCCTTATTTTGCAGCTTCTATGTAAATTCTGGCATGCACATTATATGTTTAAAGGATAGCAAAAGCATCTCATATATAGTCATTATTTAATTTTCTTCATGATTCTTTGGCGACAAGCCTCAAGGTAGGTCCGAATGAACATTTAAAAGTTAAGAGGTACACCTTAGCTGACAGTATTGCATGTTCTAGAAACAGATAGTCTAGAAACTCCTGTTTAAGAGCAGAAGGTATCAAGATGTGGAATTTTGTCTAAGTTTGTTTTAGTTTGGGTGAGACAGGATGCTGACCTAAATATAGGCCAAGAAGATAGGTTTGTTTGATTTATCGTGACATTCCAAATTCACTTGTGAAGTATACATGTATGTGGAAATTCTTAGGCGTAATGATGCAAAAACTTTTTCTGTGTGAGCTTAAACTTCTGTACTCATCACTTACAAAATTCATCTATGGGCTATTTTTGACTTCCAAAATTAATAACATATATATCCAAAATTAATAACATAGGTATTTAGTTATAGTAAAGTAATTGACACATAAATTCTATTGTCTGTTGACCTTTACTTGATTGCGCATGTCGCATTGCATCTTGCGCATGTACACTTAGAAGACTTTACGCATCACATACTTATAACCGGTATGCTAATTTTTGGGAACTGATTCTTGTATCGGAGGGAATCGACTTGAAAATGTATGTGGAGACTACATACTTATAAGCGGTATGCTAATTTTTGGGAACTGATTCATGTATCGGAAATTGGTTCGTAGGAACTATATGACGGTTTGAAGGGGGGTCCAGGGAATTGCGCGACTATGGTATAAAATATGTGGAGACTACCAATCTAAATCTAAAAATTCAATTCCAAAATTGAAAATTTGTAATGGATGCAATTTAATACACATGAACCATCTAGAAACAAAATTTTTAATTGTTCCATTGTCTTTTAACTATGTCTAAGGAGCAAAAAATTTAGCAACTTCTGTGAAAATTTTGAAGCACTGGTTTTGACTACATTTTGTTTTGTTAAAATGTGCTGAAATCCTTCAAAATTTTGTTCCTAGATAGTTAATGTGTAAAATATCATATCTAACAGTTCATTTTCACTTTTGAGATCCAAATTATAAAATTGGATTGATAATATCCATATTTTGGATACAATTAATAGTGGCATAGCTCGACTCTACACGCACACAGACACCAATTTGGATAAAATGCATATGCTGTAAGTAAGAAACTATGTATATATTACTGGAAGTAAACTGGTTTCTTTGATTTAGTTATGGTCTTTTTGAAAATTAGTGCTTCTTATGACTTGCAAAATATTGAATGTCATGATCTATATCTGGCTGTTCGTCTGCATTGTTCTGGCTATCATTAGATTCATTACTTCTTTTTTAAGCTTACTTCTTTCTACCTTATGCAGGTTATTTCTGCTGTTGTTGGATTATTTATTGGCTTGGCCCTAGGGGTTTTGATCCTTGCAATATTCTCAGCGATTAGTTTGTGGCTATATGGAAGCTTTTGGACAACACTACTTATCACTTGTGTTGGAGGTTCACTTTTGTTACCTTCTCTTGGAATTGGATTGGTATTTATCTAGTACGCTCACTGTAGACTAACACCTTCTAACTTCTACATTTGCAGGTAGCTCATTTGCTATGAGTCATGAACGAGCTGCACTATTGATCACAACAACATATTCTGTGTATTGTGCCAAATGCTATGTTGGGTGGCTTGGTTTACTCTTGGGATTGAACCTATCTTTTATATCGAGTGATATTCTTGCATACTTCCTAAAGAACAACATTAATGAGCAAGGACAAGGATCTTATTACTCTTCAGAACAAGATAAGCAAACTCCTACTGGAGCAGGACATTTCTATGGTGAACCTTCACATTCTTCATCATCTGTTGATTCGTCTGCTTCCAGAAGCTCAGCTGTTCCTTCAACTAGTGGATGTGATGCAGAGTTAACTTCTGAAGGTGAAGTTCTTCGATTGTTGAACTGCAATGATCACTATTCAGCTTTTGGCTTCACCCGCTTTGAGAACGTAGATGTATCTTTGCTCAAGAGGGAATATAGAAAGAAGGTAATTTGCCTTAAACGTTTGATACTCTTTTCTCTGTATAACTTTTAACATTCAGATGTTCAATCATAATCACTGATTCCAGTCAGAAATACTATTTATATCCACGAATGGGTTTTCCAGGCTATGCTGGTTCATCCAGATAAAAATATGGGTAATGAGAAAGCTGCAGAGGCATTCAAGAAACTTCAAAATGCATACGAGGTATACTTCATGTAGCTTTTTTCTTCAGCGAAAGTGAAGAACTTACTTTCTTGTGAACAAGGAAACAATCCCTGCATTATTCATTATGAAATTCTTGTATGCAGGTTCTGCTAGATACATTGAAACGAAAAACTTATGATGATGAATTAAGGAGGGAGGAGCTTTTGAACTATTTCCGAAGGTTCCAAGGTGCTTCAAGCAAGGTACCTCTCTTTCTTCACCTCTACACTTGTGGTCAGTTCCATACCATGCCTTTTTGGACCAAAACGTTTGTCAGCTTTATATGAACTTGTGGGTAACATTGAGAGTGTGAAGATAAAAAAAATCCTTGTAAAAAGTAGAAGAAGCTACAGAAAGTTTGAGGAGCTACTCTTTAGTTGTTTAATAAGAATCACTCAGGTGAACGTAATATAGAACCAATAAGTTTAAGAACTACAACATCGTGGCAAAATTAAGCTCATTGGTATAGATGATGCTTTAAAGAAAATGAAAAGGATGGCTATTGGACTTCATATGCTTGAAGTTTGTTAAACGCTGGGGGCAAGATAAGTTAGCATGGCTATCAGTAAAACTATCAAATGATAAAATGCCTAAAGGATGAAGGAATCTTATTGGCATCTATATATAAGATAAAGAGAGACAAAGATATACGTACTATCGTCAAGTTAAGTTCGTGACACAAATGGTCCTACTTTGGAAGATACACTGTGCAAAGAACATGGATATGGTGTTTGGGAATCAATTTGTTGAAGGGGGGTTGATCATTGAAGCCATGCAGTTATGAAGGCCATGGATGAAGAGATATGGAGAGAAGAAATGAGATCTGCATTCTGCATACAGGTTCAAGATTATGATAGGGTTCATGGGGAGATAATGTGGTAGGTTTTAAAAGAAAGGTGTTTAGTAGTTTGTTATTAACTTATCATTAACATGATTAAGATTAGATATGTATTAGATAATAAATTGCATGAGAACAATAAGGTGACAAAGCTATTACCTATCACCATATGCATACACCAAGGAAAGATACAAGTCCTTATCTTAGTCATTAAATAACTTTAACATGAATTACTGTCATGCATGCTATTTACAGATGAATAATAATTATCAAAGTATGAAGGTGGTGATAAGTTTTAGACTCTAAACACTTTAGAATCAATAGAGCGAAAACAGAGAGTAAGGAGTGTAAATCTAGTGAAGTTTGGATAAGATTGAGCACAACAGAATGGAGTACCACTCTAGTGAAGCTGCAAGAAGAATGAGGGAATACCTTAGAATGATCATTTTTACTTAGGTCCTATTGTCCATCATTATCATGAGATTAGGAGTGATGTTTAGAGTTAAAGAAGGATAGCTAGAGGAAAAAGTATCATGTGATCAATGATCATAAACATGGAGTTGAAGGGGAACTTTTGTAGGATGCCTAGATGACCATGACTATGGATCTGAACATTGGGAATTGAAAAAAAATGTCCAAAATGTTGAAACGGAAGTTTTATAATATGCTAAAAGATATGATAAGAAATGAGTGGATCCATTTTAAAAACGTTGATGAAGTGAAGGCGATTTGATTGAGATGGTACACATGCAGAAACGTATAAGTATGCTAGTCAGGAGCTAAGGTGGTTCTTATTCACGCATAGAAGACTGCAAGTAAACCTGAAGAAAGATGGATTGAGGCAATAAGAAAGGATATAGTAATTCTTATTCACGCATAGAAGACTGCAAGTAAACCTGAAGAAAGATGGATTGAGGCAATAAGAAAGGATATAGTAATTGTTAGTTTAACTTAACAAATTGAATGGAGAAAAAGGATTGATGTAGTCTGTTTCTTTTTTTAATCTAGCTTGAAACCATTGTCCAAAATGTTGAAACAGGAGAGTTATTATATGCTAAAAGATAGGATAAGGAATGAGTGGATTCGTAAGAAGCTATAGCCTTTAGGTAGCTCGAAACCTTGAGAAATTGAAGGCAAATCGATTGAGAAGTTACACATATGCAGAAACCAATAAGTATGTTGTCCAAGGTGGTTCTTATTGATGCATAGGAAACTACGAGTAAACCTGAAGAAACATGGATTGAGGTAATAAGAAAGGACATAGTAATTGTTAGTTTAACTTAACGACATTGAATGGAGAAAAAGGATTCATGCAGTCCGTTTCTTTGGCTAATTTAGCTCAAAGCCATAGTGTATCCCTCAGTTGTTTGAGTTCATTAATATAGAAACTATATAGATATCCCTATGTTACAAAGGTGGCTAAATTTTGTCATGCAGACTGGAAAGCATAACATCTTCGGTCCTGGCTCCACTCATTTTGAGGCTGATGATGAAGGCAACCCTGAAGAATCAAGAAGAATAGCTTGCAAGAATTGTGGTAATTTTCATAAGTGGACTCGTACAGGGAGATCTAAATCCCAAGCAAGATGGTGTCAGGTTCAACTTTTGTTTTGATCTTAATTCTTATGAAACTTGTTCATTTGTATTAGTGCTCCTCAGTTAAATTTTCCCCTTATCTAGGATTGCAATGATTTTCATCAAGCTAAAGATGGTGATGGATGGCTTGAACAATCAGCCAGCCCATTTTTGTTTGGTTTACTGCAAAAGGTAAAAACAATTTATTGCATTTCTTTTTCATTCAATGTTTATTAGGTATCTACATATATAAGGTGTAAGAATATCCATTGTTCTTATGTTGGCTAAGTTTTATGTTTATGTGTTGCACACCTTAGTGCCAAATATGTCATTGTTGAGATTCTTTATATTTTAGGACATTTAAAATTAGTGATTGATAATAATTGTCTTGCATCTAACAAGAACATAATGTTCCAGGTGGATGCACCATGTGCATATGTTTGTGCCGAAGGCAGAATTTACAACGTGACTGAATGGTTCATTTGCCAGGTACATAGTTTTCTTTTGCTTCATGGTTAAGTTTTCTTTTGCTTCATGGTTAAGTTTTTGTATATCATTGTTCTTTTCCCATTCATGTAATTAGTTTCTTTTGGGTGGTTTATGTTAGAAAGATGTTATAATCTTCTAGATATATACAAGATAGTCACAACCCTAAGTTAGCCATCACATTGAAGAGCATATTTCTTATTTGATTTGGAATTTAAAGCTGAACTATTGAATGAACCATCGATTAGTTTTGTACTTGAATTTCAAAAGGACCACTCTATGTATTCTATTATCTAGGTAAATTCTAGGTATTATTCCAAGTGGTAGACTAAAACAACGTAAGGAGAGCTTGGTGATGTATTTGTACAAGCTAAAAAAAGAGGTTCCAAATTTTAGCTCCCCAAAAGCACAAGACAAACAGCTAAGCCCTTGTTTACTTTTGTACCTTACATTACTTCTATTTTTCTCTATTTTTGGTATATTGATGGATTCTCACAATCTCATGATCAGTTGACTGGTGGGGGTTCAGTGGTTCACAGGTAGGTATTTTAAGTTAAATGGCATGCAAAGGGTTCAAGGGGAAGTGAGAAGGATGGCCTGGCCATGCTACCAACCTCAGATGTGCCATTGAGTAGTGATCTGCGAAGTGTCAAGGACCAAATCCTTAGCGAACTAGTCTTACTTTATTTTTTTTCCGCTTCTTGACTAGTATATGAATGTGTGGGATAGCTAGTCATTCCTCTCTTTCGTGGAGGAAACTTTTATCTAAACAGCTATGTAATTAACCTACCGGTAGTGATTCGAATGGTTTAGAGGTTCCAATATGGCTCCCATGGTCTTGAGTTCGATCTCAGGTTGTGTTATTTAAAATAAAATAAAAAATAGCTCTGTAATTTCTTGCTGTCAAATATTGAATGACACTGATCAGCAAGAGAGATGAATCTGATGTGGATAAAATGCATAGATAATAGAACCTATAAAAGTTGCATATGTTGACTTGCGCATTTAACATTTAATGAGTTAATAATATCAGTGTAGACTTGGCTCCTTTGGACCAGAATCAAGTGACAAGCAATGTCGTACGAAAAATATTTCTACTATTTCTTCGTTCAAGAAGATCATGAAGAATAAAACAGATTATGCACATAATGATAATGTATTAACAACTTACATGGAATTGAATCATATATATATATATATATTTATATATATATGTGTGTGTGTGTGTGTGTGTGTGTACGTGTGCGTGTGTCCATATGCGGAAACATGAGTATGTGTTTGTTGCTCATTTTCCTAAATGAGCTACCAAGAGATAGACCAATAACCATTGTATTAAATGAACCTCACCTTTCCATACGGGAATCAGGAATGAGAATTTTTTTAGCAAATTTCTCGATTATGTGTTTGGGACAAGTGAAGAAATGAATTAGACTTTTATGTTGTAAATGGATTCTATGTTAAATAGCTGAAGAAGAAAGAAAGGGATCGAAAGGGGAATCCTTTTAAAATAAGGGTAAAAGTCGAAAAATATATCACGTGTTATTCACATGATGACTTTTAAACAAAATATTTAAAGGTCATGTGACGGAGGACACTAAAGTTTTAGAGTTGGTGAAATTTTGGGAATCATTTAGGTTAATTTGAACGACAGAGTATCAAGTCTAAAATGAGAACAAAAAGGGTAAAGTTTCAGACATCAGATCTGCCATTCTATTTTAGGTAACATTAGGATTAATTGCAAATAGACCCCCCCCCCTATTGATGTTTGAATTTATTACCCCTATAATTTCATGGTTGCAAATAGATCCCCTGAGTTTAATTGTTTTCACGCTCTTATCTTGGTAAAAATTTGGCAGATATTGCCTCTTGGTGAAATTAGTGAGTGTATCTAGGTTAATAAAATTTAAAATAAAAAAAATTAGAATAACCCAGGGGGTCTATCTGCAACAATGAAACTACAGGGCTAGTAAGTCCAAAACATAGAAATTACAGGGGATTTATGTTCAATTAACCCTCTTCATTTTCCAACAATTTCTTAAGTACAGTTAGATATCAGACATCTACTTAATGTGTTCACACAGGGGATGAGATGTCCTGCAAACACCCACAGAGCCAGCTTCCATGTAAACACAAATCTAAGCTCGAAGCACAACAGTAGCAATACAAAGGGAGCCAGTTCATCCCAAAGAGGCAGCAAACCGATGCCCAATGTTAACATTGACGAGTCGATGACAGAGGAAGAGTTATTCGATTGGTTACAGAGTGTGACACAGTCGGGCATTTTTGAGACCAATGGTGGATCGACGAGCGAGAGCCCTACTGCTAAAAATGGTGGGAGCCCAAAGGGAAGTAGCAGTGTGAAGAAGAAGAGGAAAGGGAAAAAACAGTGGTGAACATGAAATTATACAGTATTGAGCTTGTTTTCATTTTTATTATTCGAAAGGGTCTTAATGTTTCTCAATCCAAGCTGACAAGTTTTGTGTTTTGAGGAATTTGCTTTGAGGCCTTGAAATTGTTGACTTTGACCCCTTTATTATTAGGGGCTGAAGGATTGGTGTATAAATGAGAGGGTATAATCTAGCCAAGTTTTATCATTGTTCAACTTAATCCAATTTTTGATATAATTTTCCTTGCTTTTATTTCATGTTCAACTGCTTTTGCTATGAGTAAGTATAAATCAAAGGGTTGCTTGCACTTAGAAATTGCACTTTAGAAGTGATTATGCTCATTGCGTCTTTTGTTTGATTTTGACAATAGAGCCCCGAGTGAATATCTTGACTCCTCCAACCTCGGAGAAAAGAGAATGGCCCCCGAGGGGTAAAAGAATTCAAAATTTTCGCTTGGAGTTTTGTTATGGTGTTTTCAGTCGCTTAAGTATGGTCCTTTGTCAATAATGGACATGTGTCCCTCTTATTTGCACCGCTCAAGTCAAATTGGTGGTTAAAACAACCAAAGATCCCGACGTAGCCGACCGTCGAGTCAACATCTCTTTATGTCGACTCGAATGACATTACTTGTCGGTTCTCTCGTCGAAGATGACTCATCACGAGCGAACTCGACTAGTTATTTGACGCCTTGTGAAGTCGACTTAAAAAGTGTTACTTCCCGATCAAGCTAGAGTATGACTTCAACCTCGAGCCTCTCCTGCTAACAGCACGTCAGCATCACATTTAATGCTTGATAGACGCATCATACCTCTAGCCCCGATAGTTTTCATGACTCATCGGACCACGTCATGCCTCCAATTGCTTCTCATTTAATGCTGAGGTGATCCCTCCTCCACTCACCGACTGACACGTGTAAAGTAGGTGCTGACGCGGCCGCCAGATCATACCTGCTTACCGCCTTCCTGTGCTCGGTTGAAGTGATTGTTCTACCCTTTTCAGCACCACTATAAATAAAAGGTACTATTCTTTACTAAAGGGATCGGTCTTAGATCTTCGATCTTGAACTTTTTTCAATCTGATCGGACTTTTGGACATCTGATCTTTATTTTCCAAGCAATATCTGCATATTACACTGCACTACACTAAATAACCCGCGGAGTTCTTTATTTTCCCACTCAAGTTCACCAGCTGACTTGATCGTCGGATGTATAACGGGGAAACCAGCCCCGTCCTCTCACGAGTTTCTACTTGTGCAGGCTAAAACTACTAGACTCAAAACCGGATATTCGAAGAAGTGAGCGGCCCATCCTCAATCGCACCCCGATATATTGACTGTTTAGTTACTTAACATCAACAGGTTTCGTCTGCTAAAATCAAATTACAGGGGTAAAAGCTCCGAAATGTGATACGGCTGAGGTTCTATGTGCAATTACTCCTAAATCAAATTGTCACATAGCACATGCTCATCAAAGTTTGATTTAGCGCATAACTGAGACACGAAGTGGCTTGCTTGTTGCCAAATTAATGAGAAGAAAGCTTGCTGAAGTGGTTATAAAAAAATAAAAAAAATAAAAAACCAAATCATGAATTTGAACCTGCAAGTAAGATACGCTGATGATAAATGTAGTTAAAAGGAAAATGTTAAATTATAGGCACAAAATGTTTGATTGAACACAGACTAAGCTGCAACTATTTATAAGTATTTGTATTTTTGTTTTAGCTTAACCATTATACATACTCCCATGGTCATTAGCCTGAATTTTTTTTTTCTTTCGAACTTTTTTAATCTGCAAGTTCATCATTCATCATAGCATCTTTAATGCTCGTAGTGCATGAAGGTCGTAGAGATAGAAAATAAGAAATTAATGTCATTACATATATGATAAATAAACCCATATTATATGCCTTTCTCTAACCTTCTTTAAACTTGTTTGCTCTACAAAGGAATTTTGGCAGGGGCTCATTTTTATGATTATAGGATTAATGCCTAGTCAATAGTCATGCAACACTCTTTTCATGCAACACTTTTACTTTACCATTTTTTTTTTTTTTTGAAAAATTCCTAAAAAACCCAAAATATGGGACTAACAGGGGGACATGAGGTGTCCCCCTCCTATTGCGTAATGAGCTGGTCATCCAGCTCATTACGAGGACACTTCACATGTCTCCTGTTAGTCTCATATTTTGAATCCCTGTAACAAAGTTTTTTTCCCCTCATATTGGTAAATATACATGTGTCATATTAATAGGATCCAACTACCACCATGATTGAGCGCAACAACAACGATAAAGGAATTTATGTCCCATTAAAGTACAGTAGTTGGATCAAATATTAATTTACAGAACCAGAAATGGAAGGACGAAAATGACATTTTATAAGATACGATGGAGGCAATAGCAGTTCTGTTCCGACTCATTAGGCAGAACATTAAGAAGTTCGTCACAAGGTCAGCGAAGGCAGCGACTTCATTTAATTTGAGGCTTAATTGCACTTTAATACCCTGTAGTTTCTCCTACTTTGCAGCTATACGCCTCCACTTGCTTTCGGCAACAGTTGTATACCCTAAAACTTTAAAACTTTCACTTATATTTATGTACCCCAATTCGTTTTTTGCAGCGCTTATGTGCCTGAAGTTTTTAAAGCTTGCAGATAAATAAATTAAAGTTTTTAAAACTGACACTTAAATATCAACAAGTCAGCATAATTAAGGGTACTTAAGTGGAAGTTTCAAAAACTTAGAGTATATAAGAACCGCAAAAAAAAGTGAGGGTATATAAGTGCAAAGTAGGAGAAACTATAGGGCGTTTAAGTGCAATTAAGCCCTAATTTTACCTTTTCACGTCCGTAAGTAAATTATGCATTAACATACCCAGCATTCAGTTGGACGGGGGACGAGGAACGGTCCTGACTTGGTTTAATAAGGTGAAAAACTGACCTAACGAAATTAATTTTAAGCTTGCGTTTAGTTATTTACCAAACCATGATTAGCCCCAAACTATTTTTTCGCTCCACTGATAAATACGAAATTAATTTAATCTCTTGTTTAACTATTGATCCCAAACATTGAATGGGTACTGAAATGTTATCAATCCTTGGATCGGTGCACGAACCACAGGCTCATGATCCGATTCCGACTGTTATCCGTTTGATGTACATTTTAATATCATGAACCGGGTCCATTAGATACTTTCTCTACACGATAATCCACCGAAGTT